TATTTTAATATTTACATATAATTGAATGACATTTCTATCTATTTGCATGTACGTAATCTGTTTGCAGTTTGTTATAATATTTAATATTATTTAAGAATGTTATTATATTTATGCTTTATATAACATTTTTTATATATTTCAATATAGTTTAATAGCATTTCTAACTATTTGCATGTACATAATCTGTTTGCAGTTTGTTATAATTATAATATTTATTAGTATTGAAGTTATATTTGTGTTATTTATTTTATATATTTTTTATATTTTTGTTTTATATAATATTATTTTTTATATTTAAATATCGTTTAATGACGTTTCTTTGCTCGCACATAATCTGTTTGCTATTTGTTATAATAGTATTTAACATTATTAAAGAAAGTTCTCTTGTTAAGTCTCATCAGAAGCGGCTGTGCGGGTGTGTAGTGTGTGGGCCGGCAGCTGTATGGTAATGAGCTTTAGCTCAGGCAGTGGGCAGCAGTGGGCAGCAGTGGGCAGCAGGTGTTATTTATTTTATATATTTTTTATATTTTTGTTTTATATAATATTATTTTTTATATTTAAATATCGTTTAATGACGTTTCTTTGCTCGCACATAATCTGTTTGCTATTTGTTATAATAGTATTTAACATTATTAAAGAAAGTTCTCTTGTTAAGTCTCATCAGAAGCGGCTGTGCGGGTGTGTAGTGTGTGGGCCGGCAGCTGTATGGTAATGAGCTTTAGCTCAGGCAGTGGGCAGCAGTGGGCAGCAGCGGGCAGCAGCGGGCAGCAGTGGGCTGGTGGAATCACACCGGCTGACTGAGAGAGCTGCCAGGCTGCCTGACTCACTCACAGAGCTGCACTGACTGCATGCTCGATTGGGCTGCACACCCGTTTAATTCAGCTCAGCTGCTTCTAGGGGATGCAATGATTTTAAAATACATAAAACATTTAAGGATGAAGATCTTCGGCAGGTTGGACTTCACTTTGGTGAGTTGGTGCATTAATGCAGTTGGTTATTCTCTTTAGATTTTGTAGCTAAATAGAATATAGTGGTAGTGGGCTGGTGGAATCACACCGGCTGACTGAGAGAGCTGCCAGGCTGCCTGACTCACTCACAGAGCTGCACTGACTGCATGCTCGATTGGGCTGCACACCCGTTTAGTTCAGCTCAGCTGCTTCTAGGGGATGCAATGATTTTAAAATACATAAAACATTTAAGGATGAAGATCTTCGGCAGGTTGGACTTCACTTTGGTGAGTTGGTGCATTAATGCAGTTGGTTATTCTCTTTAGATTTTGTAGCTAAATAGAATATAGTGGTAAAAAAACTGAAAATAGTTTCACTTTCTTCCTTTTCAGGATTTTTACCTATTAATCTCTCATTTCTTTGAATATGCATACAATATAATAGCATGCATTTATTTTATAATTTTTATAGTAGTTTTGGAGTTAAGCATCATTACAAATGTATTTCTAAATAGCCCTTGTAGACTTTCCTTATATGTTTAAAATCTGTCCTATATGTTAGATTGTGTGTGTTAAAGTATATTACATATAACAATACTATTATATTATATTATATTATATTTAATATATGATTGTGTAATATTATATTGTTGATTTTCTGTATAGTTTTGTGCATATAAAATGTATAAATTATAGAGTTTGTGCACAAAATGCACATATATATATATATATATAATATTATATGGCTTTTTCAAAAAAAAAATTTTTTTTGCAGTACATTTCTATCCATCTTTCTCTCTCTATTTATTTTTACTGAATTTTTCTACTTTTTGAATAGATTTAAAGGTATGGGAGCCTAACTGTGTTACATGCCTGTGTATTTAAGTGTGTGGGAACATGGGAAAGCAGCAGAGCGAGTGAAAGGGAGGGTGTTTCTGCTGCATTCAGAACTTGAGTGAAGCATTTAGTCTCTGGCTGTAAGGAAACACAACTGAATGGATGTGAATGTGTGAACAGTCACCCTGCTGAGGATTTGGGTAAAATGAGTGACTATAAATAAGCCTTATTGTCTCAACCAGTTTAAGCAGAAGAAAAGACTAGAGCTTTACATTTTCCGAAGCAAAAGTACCACACCACAATGCTGAAGTGCTGTGGGGGTTTGCTAAGTGGATACTGGTGTGTTCTGGGTGGGGTTCGCTTTTATTTCTTACAGCAGTGTCTCACGTATTTAATCAGGGATCATGGAATGATGTTGCGCAATCTCGTTTAAGATGCAAGAGCGCAGTGTTTGTGTTCAAAGAGCTCTTTCAGCAGAAGGTCCATTCCTGCTGCTGAAGTGTTGAAGCAGTTTTATCTTGAGGTCTTCAGAGGGTTCACGAGAGGCCAGAACGCTTTGAAAGTTTTGACAATGCTGCCACAGACAGATAGGAAGCTGAAGGCTGAGGATGTTTGTTTGGCTTGTGAAATGATCTAGTTATGAAGACGTGATGAAGGACTCTTGATCTCTAATCAGTGTGGCGTCAGTGCAGTTTACAACATGCTGACAAAAATTTGGTGTAGGGTTTACCTTTCAACCGTTTTTGATCAACAATTGCTAGTAAATCTCACTATTAATTACAAAGAAACAGAAAAACTGAAATTATATTTTCTTTTAAAACAAAATTCTTTATTTGCAACTTTGAAAAAAAATGTTTTTACAGTGCAGTTTTGATTGTAATGCTCAAAGGTTGCTCTTCATGACATATTTCTCTCAAGTATCAACTTTAATGTTTCTGCTAAAATTCCTTAGAAATAGACACAAATAAGGCATTTGTTGACATGCAATAAGAGTAAAGAGCTGTAAAATGAATGCAGATAGCAGCTACACTAACCAAAATTTGGAATAACAAAGTGAAATATTTCAGATTTTTTAAAAAGTTTTTTATTGTAATTTTTTTTTTTTTTTTTTTTTTTTTTTTACATATTTTAAAATGTGATTTATTTGTGTTGCTGAATTTTCAGCATCATTACTCCAGTCTTCAGTGTCACATGATCCTTCAGAAATCATTCTAATATACTGATGTTCTGCTCCGTTATTATCAGGTATTATTGTTGTTTAATATTTAAAGGGGTCCTATTATGCTTTTTCACTTTTTCAACTTTAGTTAGTCTGTAATGTTGCTGTTTGAGCATAAAAAAGATCTGCAAAGTTGCAAAGCTCAAAGTCCACTTCAAAAGCAGATATTTTATTTAACAGAAATACTAAAACTTTTCAAAAACTACAACGAACGACTCGTTTGGACTACAACGCACACACACTGGCCCAGCTAACCAATCACAGCACGCACTGGCCCAGCTAACCAATCACAGCACGCACTGGCCCAGCTAACCAATCACAGCACGCACTGGCCCAGCTAACCAATCACAGCACGCACTGGCCCAGCTAACCAATCACAACACGCACTGGCCCAGCTAACCAATCACAGCACACACTGGCCCAGCTAACCAATCACAACACGCACTGGCCCAGCTAACCAATCACAACACGCACTGGCCCAGCTAACCAATCACAGCACATTTCGTATTTCAGAAGGCGGGCCTTCATTTGATACAGGAACTATTCGAGCCGTTCATGTCAGACTGTGGAGAGAGGTGCTGTAATAATGTAAAATATGTGAAAAATAATGTTTTTCGAACAACCTAGTATGATAGCCTGTTCTAGTACACCCCCAATAACAAAAACAAGACTTTGTAAATGAGCATAATAGGACCCCTTTAATGATTCTTATGATTTTCAATGTTGAAAACTGTTTTTCTGCAAAAAACAATTTTGTGGTGCATTTTTTTCAGGATTCTTTGATAAATAGAAATTTAAATGAGCAAAATTAATTTGAAATAGAAATGGCAACATAAATTACTTTGTCATTTTTGATCAATTTAATATGTCATTTGCTGAATCGAAATATTAATCTCTTTCTCGCTCTCTCTTGTTTTAATCTTACTTAACCCAAACATTTGAATGGTACAGTATCACGATTTCCACAAAAATATTAAGCAGCACAACTGTCTTCAACATTGATAATAATCAGAAATGTTACTTGAGCAGCAAATCAGCATATTAGAATGATTTCAGAAGGATCATGTGACACTGAAGACTGGAGTAATGATGCTGAAAATTCAGCTGTGCATCACAGAAATAAAATACATTTTAAAATATATTTAAAAAGAAAACAGTTATTTTAAATTGTAATAATTTAATCCAATTTTTTATCAAATGCATGCCACCTAGGTGAGAATAAGAGACAAAAGCATTAAAAATCTTAATTATTCCCAACTTTTGGCCAGTAGTTTGTCATTTAGTATCAGAGGAATTGAAAAGTTAATGATCTCATGACATTTAATTGCATACTTTAAAATCTGAGCACAGTTTGAGGCACTTGAGATCTTCTCTGAAACTCTAGAGGAGACATTAGGGGCTGTTTTTCTCAGAAGACCTTTCATTTTGCTCTTTGTTGAACTTCTCATTCAATACTGTATACAAGTCTTTCCCCTGGAATGACTTCCGCCTGGAGCTTTTGACGTCTTGTTGAGTCTATATGGGTGTAGAATTAAGCACATGTGATGGCTGACAGCGTGTCATTCCTCCACTCAGAGATTATCAATATAAATGACCTGTTGCCATAAGGACCTCCTGTGATGATTCAGGGCTGAGAGCATTGAGTGTGCTGCTGAAACAGGAAGAGAGCCATTATTGTGAGTGGTGAGTGTGAATACAGTATGTGAAGCTCTGGATATGCTCAGATGCTTTATGCAACTGCTTGCGTCATCGTCGAAATGCTCTGGTGGGACATCTGAGAGCGTTGGTTGAGTCACTTCTAGTGTGTGTTGTAGATACATGGAGAGAAAGTGTTGTGCATCTGCTCCACTTACAGCCTCCTGTTTAATAATGAAGCATTATCACAGACAGAATGTCATGTATTTTAGTGCATTGGTGGTTTAGGCTTATTTCATGTATATGGACATCACTTGATGTTTGTCTCTTGTTCTAATGCTCCACTATTGTTTTGTCATTCAGGACTTTGCGTATGATGACCCAAAGTTGGAGTTTAATGTGGATGCGCCCAACGGATTGGTGATGGAGGGCTATCTGTTCAAAAGGGCCAGTAACGCCTTTAAAACTTGGAATAGGTAATTGAGTTAATTAAATTTGCTCATTGAATTGTATCTGCCATAGTAAATCTCATATAGCTTGATCATGAATCTGAATATTCCTGGTTTGCTTTTAATCAGGCATGCAGCTAGGTCAGGAATGCAGCAATATGCAAGAAAAAAAAATCTGAATTATTTAGGGATGGACTGATGTTTTGCATAACAATTCTGGCTTGATACTGATATTATTTTAGTGTTATAGATATTTACATTCTATGGTATTTTGTCTAGATAAATGCAAAATTAAAAAGTCATTTTAAATTCTACAAGTGAATTTTGGCATCACAACATTAAAGTATGGTAAGGCAAATTCATGATTTTGAGACTTGATTACAATCAACAGTGTTGTTAATTAATTTATTATTCTTATTATTTTTTTCAACAATTTTGTCATTGAATTATTTTAAATTATATTTTTTTGAAGAATAACTTTGAGTCAGCTAATGATAGTAAAAGTAATATAAAAGCAAAAACTGAGGAAGTGAGCATGAACTATTAAATATCCAATATCAATATCCATAAAAAAATCTCTAATATCTTAAGTAACAGTGTTATTAAATGTTTTTTTTAATTGTTATTTTAATTATTATTAATTAAACAATTGTGTTATGGAATTATTTTAAATTGCTTTTTTACAGATTAACTTTGTCTTAGATGAAAGGTAATAAAAGTAAAAACTGTGGAAATGACTATTAAGGTTTTTTATAATAAATAAAAAGAAAACAAGTAGATAGAATAGAAAAAGAACAGAGAACGCTAGTGTTAGAGGGTCAAATATAATATATATATATATATATATATATATATATAAACATTTAAACCATTAAAAATCCCTAATATCTGTCAATAATCATTATAGTAACAATATATCATTATATAGTAAAATTATGTATTATTTAACATTTTTGAAACATATCATGCCTTTTTAATAAATCTGCAAATATGTCAACAATTCTGTGTTTTTCTGTCAATATGGGGTGCTGTGTGTACATTAATGAGGAAAAAAAATTAACTTAAATGATTTTAGCAAATGGCTGCAATATAACAAAGAGTGAAAAATTTAAGGGGATCTGAATACTTTCCGTACCCACTGTATATATATATATAAGTAATTAGTAACTAATTCCTTGTCTCTTATATCCCTGTATTGTTTCTTTTTTTTTTTTTTCAGGCGCTGGTTTTCCATCCAAAACAGCCAGCTGGTGTATCAGAAGAAACTAAAGGTGAGTTCAAATCAGCATTTAGTAAGTGGACACATTAGTCACAGCAGTTTGGATGGGTTAAGTAATCTGTCATTGATTTTAACGAGCAGCTTCATTATACAGTACCTAGAGAGAATGTACTGAGTTCGTGTCAGCTCACAATCAATGCTGGTGAATCTTTACCTCACAGGTCACTGAGCTGTTAGATTCAGCAGTTGTAGTTTAGCCAGGCAGCATATCTCCAGAGCACTCAGTCTTTTTAAAGATAACAAACTCGTTGCCCGACAAATCAATGCATGCGCACAGCACTGCCTGCTCTTCATCTGTTTGGAGAGCATCCATTTATTTGAGTCGAAATGCTTGCTCAGGGAAGTCTGCTTAAATTACTGTGACGCAGTGCTGTTTAATGCACTTCAGAGTGAAACCGGTTCATTTAGAGCGCTTTTCGTCAAGTCAGCACATTTACAACCTTATTGAAGCGTCTTCCCCTCCACAGGATTCGCTGACGGTTGTTGTGGAGGACTTGAGACTCTGTTCTGTCAAACCTTGCGAGGACATCGAGAGGAGGTTCTGTTTTGAAGTCGTGTCGCCTTCCAAGTGAGTAAAGTTCAAACTTTAGATCATAATAAAGACTTTTGGAGCTGTATAACTAGTAGTGATTGTGTTGTATGCATGTGTGTTGTAGGAGCTGTATGCTACAGGCGGAGTCAGAGAAACTCCGGCAGGCCTGGATCCAGGCGGTTCAAGCCAGCATCGCCTCAGCGTACAGAGAGAGTCCAGACAATTATTACGTTGAGGTTTGAACAGTCTACATGCTAAATCACTATAACAAAGGATGAGCATTGGCTGGATCAGTGAACAGAGAAACCCCAAACTCAATTAAGCCTGTGTAATATCGCTATGTTTTTTTTAACCTTATGACGATATTCGATAGAACTGGCTTGTAAGAGTGTAGTTTTTCCATTGCAAACATTTCTCACTATTGTCAGGTTGATTCAAAATGCAAATAAAATACAGTAAAAAAATCATTAAATATATTATGTTTAATTCATTTACATTTTATTAATAAAACGGTACAGAACGATTTACAAGTAAGCCATTGATTGAGTGTTTTGAAGTAATTCCTTAAAATAATAATCATTAGGCTTCAATAAAAATAATATTTTTAAAACAATATTGATAATATTAAATATTGTTGTCGTTGTTATTATTACTGTTAGTAATAATAACAATTAAAAAGTTATCATTATTATTAGGCAATTTTATGCCAAATTGTTTTGCTAACAGACAATAATAATTCTAATAATAATAATATTTTGTATAATAATAATAATAATGATACGTATTATTATAAACACATTTATTATTAGTATTATTATTATTAATAATATTATTCCATTTTGTGTATACATAATACTTCATCCAATAATGAAAAGTATAGATAACAGTTAATTCTATGTAACAGTTCTGTAGTGTGAAAGTTCTGATTCAAGTAACTGAAAAATCCAAAAATTAGAAAATTCTAAAAATATAACAAAATAAAGAATTTTTTTTTGTAAACCTTTTTTAAGAGCACAAATTAATCTGTAAGTCTGTTATAGTTTTTGCTACTAATATTTAAAGTTTATATGTTCTAATTTCCCCCAAATAACTACTAATAATGTGCTGTTTTGTGTGTCTGTCTGCAGCGTTTGGACCGGACCGCTTCTCCCTCCATCAGCAGTATAGACTCGGCAAATGAGCCCCGAGAGCGCAGCGGCAGGGGCGAGAGCATTCTGCAGCGTATCCTGTGTCTGCCGGGAAACCAGCAGTGCTGTGACTGTGGGCAGGCCGACCCGCGCTGGGCCAGCATCAATCTGGGCGTCCTGCTCTGCATCGAGTGCTCCGGCATTCACAGGTAAGGCATGGAAGAGATTGTAATCATGCTCCATTACACCAAGAGAAAATGTCTGTGATGTGTGAGTTTAGTTTGTCCCGTGACCAGCCACAGTAAACACGCTGTGTCGCTTCCCCCTTGGCTCAGTCGGGTTTCCTAATTGGATTAGGTCAGATTTGATTCTCTCATTAGTCAGAGGCAAGCCAGCGACCATAGGGCTGTCAGGACAAGAGAGAAGGTCAGCGACTGTGGTTACTTTCCTCCACAGGTGGACACACAGTGATGAATATCAAGACATGAACATAATAATAATAATAATAACACAATAACAACATATTAATAATAACACAATAATAATAATACAATTTCTATTATTATTCACAATTTATGAAAACTAGTTTTGCAATGGATGGAACTGCCTGAATAATAGTAATAATAATAAAAATGAATACCAATTTATGGAAATGGTAGAATTATAATAACCTAATAACAATAATAATACTATTTAATGTTGTTATTATTATTATTATTATTATTATTATTATTAAATGGTTAATAATAATTAGTATTATTAAATTGTTAATACTATTAATAATAATAATAATTAGTATTATTATTATTAGAAAATCATGCAAATTGTGCAATGAAAATATTCTAATAATAATATTTAAATATGTTGTTGTTGTTGTTGTTGTTATAATAATAATAATAATATTATTATTATTATTAAATGGTTGAATAATATCAATAATATTAATTGTTAGCCATTTATGCAAAATTGTTTTGTAATGGAAATGGTAGAATAATCGAATAATAATAATACATATTTCAGTATATGTTGTTATTATGATTATTATTAAATTGTTGAATAATATTAGTAATAGTAATAATATTTTTATTACTATTGTTTTACTTTTTTTACTTTATTATTATTATTATTATTATTCATCCATTCCCATTGCAAAACAGTTTTGCATAAATTATGATGTTGTGTATACTTAATAGTTAATCTTTTCATAAAGAAAAGTAGAGGTAATAGTAGACTGTAATTAAAATTTGACAGTATTTGTGATTTCTTGCACCAAAAACAGTGGTAAGCGTGACCATTTTCCACCCTTTCTTGAACTTATGTAAAATCATCTTTTACATAACATGACACCTTTTAGGAGTTTACGAGATATGATAACCTTTAGACCTACTGAATGTCAGATTCTGTTTCGAAACACGAGACATGCTGGCTGTTTATGCAACCAGCCGCGTCTGGACTACCTTCTGAATATTCATGCTCTTCCTGACGCCACACCTCTCACTCTGAGCTCCAGACAGTGTGGCTCACTATCACACAGTCGTCACCCGTTCTAACTAGGTTGCCTGGAAACGTGCTGATCTAGTGGGCAGAATGCAGAGTGGGCCTAGTAATGTCAGCCGTCCCAGTGCTGCTCTCCTCAGCTTGAGTGGGAAACATCTTGCTTGAGTTGTTAGTGACTGGTGGGAGCTTGAAACACTTGGAGAACTTCAGCAGCTCAGATCAGAAACCTTTCTCAAGTTTACAATCAGAAGATTGACTGATGCTGCTGTTTTATGACTGATAGAATACTGTTTGTTTGTTTGTTAGTTTTTTTTAATTAATGTGTTCTTTTTGTTTTTTGGACAGAATAATATGTAGAAAATCATTAGACTACAAGAAAGAATAATAACCATCATTATCATCCTGATTATCATTATTAATGGAATTTTATTTATGCAAAATTATTTAATAAATAAGAATTATAAAAACAACATCCGTCATTATCATTATTTATACAATTGTATTAATTAAATTTTTTTTAATAAGTATAATGAATAATAACAACAAGCATAAAAAGGAAATAATTCCTAATCGAACTCAGCAGTTATTAATATTCATTTCTAATTGATTTGTCTGATAAATCTGGCATTGTGCATTACAAATATTGTCGGTTTTGGATCAATTGTTTCCTCAACAACATTGTGAAAAAATTTTTATATTTATAATAATTAATAATAACAATAACCATTGTTATTATCATCACTCTTATTTATGCCGTTTTATTTATGCAAATTTGATTTTTAATAATATTAATAACAATGAATAATAATAATGACAACCATCATATCATCATCATTAATGACATTTGTATTAATAATAATAATTATAGTATACTAAAATCATTGTCGTTGTTGTTGTTGTTGAACTGTTTTTATTATATTTAACCATTTAACTATTTTTATAATATTTAAACAATTTTGCATAAATAAAGTTAGCTAAATAACTATGATGATGGTAATTATTGTTGTTATTATGAAATTTAATAAAGTTGGTTTGCAGTCCAAATGATTGCAAATGTTTTGTTTTGTTTTAGGTTGCGTGTACAATAATTTTGCATTATGCACATATAATTTGTGGAGAAAACAATCCCAAAAGATGAGAGACATGTACTTGAACTTTTTATACAATAATGAAACATTTTGGAAGTAACATTAGACTGGAGTTGTAAAACAAAATACATTTTTTGACTAATGTTTTTCCATCTTTTCACAGGAGTTTGGGAGTACATTGTTCAAAGGTCCGTTCTCTCACCCTGGACTCATGGGAACCAGAGTTACTAAAGGTCTGCTCAAATATCTTTTAGGATTGTTTTCCTCCTAATCTCTCTTGGATGACCTTTCACTGTGACATGAGCAAACACGCTCTGACAATAACTGCTGTCTGTTCTGTTGCAATGCAGCTGATGTGTGAACTAGGAAACAGTATCATCAACCACATCTATGAAGGCAGCTGTGAAGAGCAGGGCCTGAAGAAACCGGGACCCAGCAGCTCCAGGTGAGTGATGAGGGACATTGACACCAGTGGCTCTTTTTCTATGGATCTGAATGTTGAGTGTTTAATTGCTGCCTTGATTTTTAAGGCAAGAAAAGGAGACCTGGATCAAAGCGAAGTATGTTGAGAAGAAGTTCCTGAAGAAGATGATGACGGGTGAAGTTCTGGTCAACGGCGGGAGAAAATCTGAGCGGCGATGGAACCCCAGGAAATGCAGGAGACATAACAGCGCCACCACCGTCCCCAAAACACACCGCAAATACAGACAGGAGCCAGGCAGTGCGTCTCCTGCAACCCTTTCCTCCGGTAGTCAATAACATTTTGTTTTAATTAACTGTGCAAGAAAGTACCATGATTGTACTATGTTTTTTGGGCTTTACCGTGCTGATAATACAATGGTATTGTGTGAATTGCTGTAATAGATGTGTTAAATGGTTAAAGTTTTTTAAAAAGTGACATTTTTTTCTCTCCCCCCAACTTTAAGCAACTGCTGCTCTGGAGAGAAAGTTCAGACGGGAATCCCTCTTTTGCCCGGATGAGTTGGACACCCTGTTTTCATATTTTGACACTGGTTCAGGGCCTCGCAGTAAGTATTTTATTCTGGCAACAACAAAAAAAGATTGCTTCCACACTCGGTTTAATTGTTTTGTTTTTTTATATACTTTTGTTGTTGTTTGTTTGTTTGTTTGTTTTGTTTTGCCCTGTGTTTTGCTTTACTTTGTTTTTTCTGTATTTTTGTGGTTTTGCTTTAATTAGCTTTGTTTTATTTTCTTTGTTATTGTATACTTTTGTTTTTTATTTTTGCTTTGCATTTTGCTTTGCTTTGTTTTTGTTTACTTTTGTTTTGTTTTGCGTTGCATTTGCTTTGTTTTTGTTATCCGTTTTGTTTTGAATTTGGTTTTTGTTTTGCCTTGCTTTTTCTATTTGTTTACTTTTGTGAGATTGCTTTATTTTAATTTGCTTTGTTTTTGTGTTTACATTTTTTGCTTTGTTTTTGTTTATTTTTGTAGTTTTGTTGACTTGTGTTATTTTGTTTAGATTTGTTGTTTTTTTATCTGCTTTTTTTTGGGGGGGGGGGTTGTTTGTTTTGCTCTATGTTGTTTACTTGTTTTGCTTTTTGCTTAGTTTTTTTTGTTTATTTTGGTTTTTGCTTTATTTTGTGCTTTTCTTTTGCATTTTCTGCTTTATGTTGCTTTGTTTTTTTGTGCAATTTCATATAGTTGTGTAGCTGTGACACATAGTTTCATCATGTTTGCCGTCAGTGCACATTTGCTGTTATTGACGCTCTAGAGTGTAATGTGCCTGTGGTGGGCTTGTGTTGGTCCTGCAGGTCTGAGCAGTGACAGTGGGTTAGGTGGCAGTACTGACGGCAGCACTGACGTCTTGGTCTTTGAGTCTGTGGTGGACAGTGTCACAGAAGAGGGTGAGTGAACCACTGTGTGACTTGACGGTGCTAACCAAGTGTTTGTTTTCCATACTGACTGTTGAAGCAGATGGATCATGTGTTCCATGTGTTTTGGTAATGTTCAGAGTGTGAGGTTTCTGAAGACTCCAGTAATGAGGTTGAACTGGAGCCGGAGGCGTCAGATCCAGAGGATCTGAGAGAACTGGATCCCGGATCGTTACTCTATAAGGCCTGTCAGGCACGAAATCTGCCTGTCATGGCTGAAGCTTTGGCACATGGAGCTGACGTCAACTCAGTGAATGAAGAGGACGAGGGGAAAAGCCCCCTTATTCAGGCTGTGATTGGAGTGAGTCATTACAAAAATATTCAGATGCATTGCGCATGCACATATTAACAGTAACCTAGATAAGAAGTGACGTAAACGTCCAGCTCATTTTAATGACGTATAAAATAATAACCATATGCCATTTTGTGATAGTAAATCCCTAATCCTCTGGTTTTCAACATTCAGGGTTCCTTGATAGCCTGCGAGTTTCTACTCCAAAATGGTGCAGATGTCAACCAAAGAGATCACAGGGGAAGAGGCCCGTTGCATCACGCCACATACTTAGGTCATACCGGGTAAGTGCATGCTTAGTAACTCTGAGTAACTCTAATAAAACAGATTTTCAGATGCCTTTTGCTGTCTTTTGGTGCATTGTAATGTCAAAGAGATTGTATACAAACGGACATGAATGTCACCACAAAGTCATAAATTACGAGCAGGAAACTCTGGATTTTCTTTAAGCCCAGAGTTTCTGAGTTGTGGGTGTGCCAGTGAGAAACATTGATTAAAAAAATATATAGTTTAACTTTATGCAGAAATAGTACTTCATCTTGCTCCAACCAAAGTTATTTGAATGCACCCGATGTTGTAATTAAAACCTCCCAACTCATAAAATACAAACTTCCCTGGAGGACTTGTCATACTTTTATTATATATTGTAGTACTGAATATTTATTATATTTTTGTACTGTGTTATTTACAAGGTACTCCAAGACATTTGAAAGAATACCATGGTTTTACATTGGTATATGTCCAACGAACATGTTATGACGCATAGCCAATAAAACAAAAACAGTAATATCATGATAAGATATCCAAAAAACAAGGTAACACAATGATACTTCTGGTATTTATTTGCAAGTTCTTAGATGCTGTAGCATTTTAGCAGGTCTGTTACTGCGTATGCAGCTTTGCATCAAATTAAATTGAAGCTTTTCTGCAACTGTATTTTCTTTATCATGTGTTTCCAGTCAAGTGTGTTTGTTCCTGAAACGAGGAGCGACCCAGAACGATGGTGATGAGGATGGCCAGGACCCACTGAGCATAGCTGTTCAAGCCGCTAATGCTGACATAGTTACTCTGTAAGTTAAAAAAAAATTACCATGCATGTGTAATGTGCCGCGGTGGGCTTGTGTTGGTCCTGCAGGTCTGAGCAGTGACAGTGGGTTAGGTGGCAGTACTGATGGCAGCACTGATGTTTTGGTGTTTGAGTCTGTGGTGGACAGTGTCACAGAGGAGGGTGAGTGAACCACTGTGTGACTTGACGGTGCTAACCAAGTGTTTGTTTTCCATACTGACTGTTGAAGCAGATGGATCATGTGTTACATGTGTTTTTGTAATGTTCAGAGTGTGAGGTGTCTGAAGACTCCAGCAATGAGACTGAATTGGAGCCGGAGGCGTCAGATCCAGAGGATCTGAGAGAACTGGATCCCGGATCGTTACTCTATAAGGCCTGTCAGGCACGAAATCTGCCCGTCATGGCTGAAGCTCTGGCACATGGAGCTGACGTCAACTCAGTGAATGAAGAGGACGAGGGGAAAAGCCCCCTTATTCAGGCTGTGATTGGAGTGAGTCATTACAAAAATATTCAGATGCATTGCGCATGCACATATTAACAGTAACCTAGATAAGAAGTGACGTAAACGTCCAGCTCATTTTAATGACGTATAAAATAATAACCATATGCCATTTTGTGATAGTAAATCCCTAATCCTCTGGTTTTCAACATTCAGGGTTCCTTGATAGCCTGCGAGTTTCTACTCCAAAATGGTGCAGATGTCAACCAAAGAGATCACAGGGGAAGAGGCCCGTTGCATCACGCCACATACTTAGGTCATACCGGGTAAGTGCATGCTTAGTAACTCTGAGTAACTCTAATAAAACAGATTTTCAGATGCCTTTTGCTGTCTTTTGGTGAATTGGAATGTCAAGCAGATTGTATATGAGTTGAACAGACATGAATGTCACCACAAAGTCATAAATTACGAGCAGGAAACTCTGGATTTTCTTTAAGCCCAGAGTTTCTGAGTTGTGGGTGTGCCAGTGAGAAACATTGATTAAAAAAATATATAGTTTAACTTTATGCAGAAATAGTACTTCATCTTGCTCCAACCAAAGTTATTTGAATGCACCCGATGTTGTAATTAAAACCTCCCAACTCATAAAATACAAACTTCCCTGGAGGACTTGTCATACTTTTATTATATATTGTAGTACTGAATATTTATTATATTTTTGTACTGTGTTATTTACAAGGTACTCCAAGACATTTGAAAGAATACCATGGTTTTACATTGGTATATGTCCAACGAACATGTTATGACGCATAGCCAATAAAACAAAAACAGTAATATCATGATAAGATATCCAAAAAACAAGGTAACACAATGATACTTCTGGTATTTATTTGCAAGTTCTTAGATGCTGTAGCATTTTAGCAGGTCTGTTACTGCGTATGCAGCTTTGCATCAAATTAAATTGAAGCTTTTCTGCAACTGTATTTTCTTTATCATGTGTTTCCAGTCAAGTGTGTTTGTTCCTGAAACGAGGAGCGACCCAGAACGATGGTGATGAGGATGGCCAGGACCCACTGAGCATAGCTGTTCAAGCCGCTAACGCTGACATAGTTACTCTGTAAGTTAAAAAAAAATTCCCATGCATGTGTGTTTGCTTCTGCAAGTTTTACCCAGAGAATATTTACACTATCGTTCAAAGGTTTGGAGTCAGAAAGATTGTTTTATCAAAGAAATTAGTCCTTTAATTCAGCATGGATGCATTATATTGATCAAACGTTTTTATTAAATAAATGCTGTTATTTTGAACTGTATAATCAAGTAATCCTGAAAAAAACATAACATTTCCACCAAATATATTAAGCAGCACAACAGCAAATCAGCATATTAGACACTGATGACTGGAGTAATGATGCTGAAAATTCAGCTTTACATCACAGGAATAAATTACATTTTAAAACATATTCAAATATAAAATAGTTATTTTAAATTGTAATAATATTTCACAATATTACAGTTTTTACTGTATTTTTGATCAAATAAATGCAGCCTTGGTGAGCAAAAGAGACTTTCACAAACATGAAAAATCTTACTGACCCCTTACTTTTGTATGCTAGTGTATATAAGAAATTGTACAAAGTTTGATTCCAAATCAAACCTCTCTTTGTTTCTTTTCTCTCTCGACAGGTTACGTCTAGCACGTATGAACGAGGAGATGCGCGAGGCGGAGGGTCCGTTTGGTCAGCCAGGTCAATATTCTAGCAGCAGTCCCACAGAGCAGCAGTATAAGAAATGCATCCAAGAGTTTATCTGTCTCAACATAGCCGAGTGCTAGAGAGCCCAGTGTAGCGCTTTTTTCCCATCATTCCCATCAAGAACTGCCAAGTATTTATGTGTTTATCTGCAAAGATGGGCCAGTCTTGCTGGGAATTCCAGCTAAACCAGCTTTAGGTGGTTTTAAATGGTTGCTATCTGGTCAGAGTTGAACCAAGCTGGTTGAACTTCCAGTCAAGTTTAACCTAACCTTTCTCAAACTGGTTAGGGCTGGTTAACCATGTCCCAGATCTGGTTGCCTAGCTTGACCATTTCACATGCTGCAGATTAGTCACATGATTGACTGGCCACCATATTTTGGCCTAGCCAACAGTGGTGCTACTCATTTCAAGACAGTTTTTATATAATGAAGGTTACCTGTGATTGAGGTAATTGTGGTGGTAGTATTTATCCAAATACCGATTACACAGCTGAGCTTACAGAGCCCTTAATAGTGTGTCTAAACCGTTTGATGAACTAACCTTCAGCGTTAGCTTCTATACACGCACCTGGCTGCACTTTCACTTCAAACAGTATTATACAGTATGTTAGGCAGCTGTCCATCTATTCTAACAGTGTTCTTCTAGTGGCATTTTTGTACACAACAGGCGCTTAAAACTGTGTTTTCTGCTTGCAAACGCATGAGGGCGAGTGGGTTCAAAACTGTGATTTATTATATGTCATAAATGTATAAAATGTCTAATCTACTAACTGAAAATGTGATTTTTGTCGACTAAAATGCCACTGTTCTGCACTTTTTCTTAACTCCACTGTCGTTTTTGTTCGCTTTTTTTGGATGATGGTGTAGAAAATGCCTCAAACTGGATTTGTATGCTTTTCTTGAGTACCGCCCAGAGCAATAGTGCAGTGATACGACATGATTTTTTTTGTACTGTGGTAACAGATTGTATTTTTGTAACTTAATATACATGTGAATTTTACCGTTCGCAACCAAACTCCAGTTTAGACACCAAAAACAAAAAGTCCAGTTGGATTACTGGGTGTTCAAATCAACAATTACCGGTCAGTATGATTATGTCATGTAAAGTCGCACATGCTCATCAAGGCTGCATTTATTTGATCAAAAATACAGTAAAAAAATGGTAGTGATGTGAAATATTATTACGGTTTAATGTAACTGTTTTGTATTTGAATATATTTTAACACATAATTTATTTCTGTGATGCAAAGCTGAATTTTCAGCATCATTCTTCCAGTCTTCAGTGTCACATGTTCCTTCAGAAATCATTCTAATATGCTGATTTAATGATTTCTTATTATAATCAATTTTTGAAATGTTAATATTTTTGTGGAAACATTGATGCATTTTCAAGATTTTTTTGATTAATAGAAAGTTCAAAAGAATAGCATTTATTTGAAATTAACATAATAAATATATTTTACTGTCACCTATGATCAATCTAATGCATCCTCGCTGAATAAAAGTATTAATTTCTTTAAAAACAAATCATACTGACCCAAAACCTAAACTGTAGTGTATGTTAATATATAATGCGCTAGTTTTATTTTGAATTGTTAATTTGTGTTATCTTCAGTGCATTGATTGCTGTTGCTCTGGACTGTTTGGTTTCCTGCTGCTTTCTGTCCTTTATAAATCTGTGCGTGTAAATGAATTCTCATAATACAGTCACTTAAAGATAAAGGATGAACTCCCATGATATGCATATTAATATTGGATGACATCGTAAGCAAGTTAACACGTGATGTTATATACACTGTATTAATTCCTGGGAGTCATAAATACAGTATATTCATGAGACATGTTCTCATGTTGTGGCTGATTCTGATGTAGACTCAGATGTCTTTAACTTTAGATCCCAACCAAAGACCACAATCAAAAACCGCACTTGTTGAGAGAAAATGCATCTATAAATGTGTTGTCTGTAGTTTGTGAACAGGCTAGAGTACTGTAAAGTTTTCCCTGACATGTTTGGGGTGAAAGGTCATTGGTTGGTGTGTCGTCTGTGTCTCGCTAGCCAATGAAATCGTAGCACTTTCTGTTTAACGCGAGCATTTTGTTTTGTGAATATCAAATCAGTGTGACTCCCGAAGTGACAAACAAATAAAATTTTGTGAACGGTGCAGCCAAAGGGGCACCGATATTGAAAAAAAAAAAAAAAACTGTATAACCAGATATGTTCTAGATATGGTGGCTGTAGCACATAACCTCTTTTATTGCTTGCTTTCATATTTCTGCTTTTCTTTTCATGTCGGTGTCGTTTGTAAAATATGTCTGAATATTGTATAACTGAACATTCTTCTGTAAATTAGAACCTCTGCAACTTCTGTTTTTCTTTTTGCTCTTCGTTTCTGCCCTTTTATCTGTTCTCTCCTCCTAAACGGAAAAGAATCTTGACAATAAATGAAACGTGACTGAAGTACTAACTGCTTGTGCTTCACTTCTCCTGCCTCTTTCTTCTCTGTAGTGCTTTGCTGTGTTAGTGTGCAGTATTATATAACCAGCTGCATTAACTCAACTTACTGATTTTGCTGCTGTAAGTAAATTCCATTTTTTTTATTGAGATCTAATATGAAGATTTTTTAACCGTCAAATTCGGTTGTGTTTGGGATCGTAGAGACTCTGAATACTCTACATTTAAAATTCTAATATTCATTTTGGTTCAAATGTTCCTCTGACTGAATCAAACCCCAGAACATGAGGGTATATTAAATATATAATACAAACATACCCTACTGTTCAAAAGTTTGAGGGTTGGTACATTTTTTAAAATGTTTTTTAAAGTCTCTTATGCTCATGCAAGGCTGCATTTATTTGATTAAAAAAATGCTGAAAAATCAGTAATATTGTGAAATATTATTACAATTTAAAATAGCTATTTGAATATATTTGAAAATGCAATTTATTCATGATGTAAAGCATCATTACTCCAGTCTTCAGTGTCACATGATCCTTCAGAAATCATTCTAATATGCTGATTTGCATTTCTTATTATTGTCAATGTTGAAAACCGTTATGCTGACTAATATTTTTGTGAAAACCATCACTTTGAACAATTTACTGCATCCTGGCTGAATAGAAGTATAAATAAATTTAAAAAATCTTACTGTCCCCCAAAATTTGAAATAGTGTATTATCAAATATACAGTGCATATTTAATTTTTATTTGAAAAGGTGTCAGTTCAGTTGCATTAACTGCAATCAAATCTAGCTTTTAAAGGAATATTCTAGGTTAAAAAGAAAATAGTTTACCTGGTAAAATAACTCAAAATGCAACTGGTTTACGGTTTTCCTTTAGACTTTGACTGTAAGTTTATAAAATTCAATAGAGCTTCTATTTAAAGAGGGATGTGACAGAACTCAAACTTTTATCTTTCTTTCAATGGTTGTTGTGCAGACAGTAGTCAGTACGCATGAGTACCCATCCTGGGAATACAGGGACAGTCCCCTCATTCTAAATCAAGCATGAGAAATTCACACAGTTTAGCAAAGTGTTCAAACCCACTCTTTGTCCCCTTCAATGTTTCAGCTGTTACCATGGTTACCCAGACAGTACAAAGACCCCTATACGGCACAAGAAGGCTCATTTTCATAGGGTTGCTTTATAGAGCCATTTCTGTTCCTTAAATTCTAACTCTAAATCTCCGAAGTGCATTAAAACGCGCTGAAAACACTGTTATTGTAATAGACTGGACCTCCTTACTTTGGCATTCAGAGCCCTGCTTTTGCATTAATAAAGCTTCTAACATAGAACTATTTACCATCTTTTTATATCGATTTTATGCAAAAGCATCCATTCACATTACAGCTGCATTTTAGGAGTTATATGTGCAGTCCACATTAACTGTGTTTGATCCCATTTTAGGTGACACCACGTACCTGGACATTTTCCGTGAGTTTTCCCATATGGCATCCCACAATCCTGAGAAGCTGAAACGGAGGAGTGTTCACTTCCGTCACTCCTTCAGGTAGTTAGATGATATCCATTAGGCATCTGTAAAATAAATGTAAAAAAAAAAAATAATGTTTTTTTTTAAAAAATGTTTTTCTCTTTTTAATCCAGAGTGTGACAGATCAAGCTCAGACTTTGGACACCAATCAAGCTGGAGCAGAAGACACTTTGACTAGCTGATATCATAAGTGTGATAAAGATGAGTGTGAAAGACTTTAAACGATAATTATGGTCGTGTTGAATGTTTGCAATGAATTGAATGCTATTTTTGTATCTTTATGGGGTCAGCTGGACTAATCCCCAGTGTTTTGTGTCAGTTTTCTTCATTTGTATTCTCCCTCTTTTAGCCATAGACTGTAAAAGGCACTTTTTTATATGTTAAAACATCTGCAATTTATGGTTTCATGTCTGTTAAACATATAATCAAAAAATCATGCATGAATGCTTTCTCATTTTTCATTTCATCTCAATACTATTACAAGCATCACTATTATCCTCTATTATGAATCGTATTCAGCGCTGATCGTTTTTTCTGTTTTTAAAGCAGTTGAAATAATAAGGAAGTTGTGTTTGGAGAATCTGCAGTGATTTTGTCTGTTGCTGTAGTGATAAATGAACTGTTTTGTATCGACTATGCTGGTGTAGTCTATATATTTTATCTGTACAGTCACTATAAATCATTGCAAATTCAGATGCAGATATTGTATATTGTCTTTTTAGATGCAAATTGATAATATATCATAAAATTGTGGTATTTTGTTAAAAATGCAGAAACATTGAGTGGACCTTTTGTTGTGGGAAATAAATATATCTCAAAAAATCTGCAGGTTTTCTTGGGTTCATAAAAACATTTTCAATTAAAATGACAATTTTGCTGCATGATAACCGGGGTTATTTACATATGTAAAGCATCAGGTAAGGAAGGTAAATTAGTTTTTTTTATTATTATTTTGTTGGTCATTTGATGGACAAGACGGACTGAGAGTTAAATTCAGGTGTCCAAATGAAGTTAAGTTTGACATTTCAACTATTCCAGGCGAATGAATCAGTCTTATGAGCCAGCTCTTTAAAAGGAAAAAAAGTTTTCAGGAAAACTTGAAATCGCATCATATGACCCCTTTAAGGCATAGGGTATTCTATAGTCTTTGTCCGAACCAATTACTTCTATGAGCCAGTTCTTTACAGTGAATCATAAACACGCAGTCTGATTCCTGAACGAATGACTCTAATGAGTCGATTCTTTAGTGTGAATCATAAGAATGCATGACGACGAGTACATTCTGATTCCCGAACAAATGACTCCAGCGAGTCGGTTCTTTATAGTGACTCACAGGTCGAGCAGTGTAGTCTGATTCCCGAACAAACGACTCGGTCGGTTCTTTGGACCAAAATCACTGTAGCTACTGACTGCTACACATTATGTATAACTAATGTTTTATATAAATAAATTAATACATTTATAATTTTGATGTGTTTATATGTTGATGAAAGTATTATTCGGCGACATACTGCATACAATGCTGTACAAATGCTTTATTTATTTATTTCAAATATGTCATTAAAAAATCCCATCGCAACTCGTCCAGTTTCGTCAGCTTAATGTTAGACATTTATTTTGAAAGGCAGCCGAACGCTCTTCAGAGCTTTTCTTTTTGTTTTTACCTCATCACTTCCTGCTGTTGCGGCAGCCATATTGGCATGGGGGATAGATGACAATTTCACCTTAGCCGAAGAGCTACATTTTTGTTATTTTTGAAAGTTTATCAAGGGCGTATTCACTCTGAGATAAACGGGATATCAATATATCACCCCAATTTGACCGTGGTCGATCCCGTGGAGGGCGTTGAAAGAGGTAAGACTGAACCATTAAAATCCCCTTAGTTTCAGTGTGTCAGGCTGTGTTTTAAAACCTAGTAAACTATCTAACGTTACCTAGACAGCAGCTGTTGTCATCATAATGTATAGCTGAACGTTTAGAACGCGTATATGACGCCCAAAGATGCTGTCTTGATGGGCAGCTCACTATGTTTTGAAACACACTCCTCGTCTCCGTCTAAGCGCTGTGTTTACTCATGTCGTTGTTGTTTAGTCCTGTTTACATCCGTTTGTCACTGTTATTGTCTTATTTTGGCTACAGTTGCTGACTATTAAGGTGTTATCCGCACAGTAAACACATGCCACCATGTTGTTTTAAATGGCAGAACAGTTCTGGTCATTTGCTTGAACGTCTGCTGTTGAATAATCAGATCTACAGAACACAATGTAAGATTGCTGTACTCTCAGTTCATGATCATACACGGATGTCAAGCTGCTTCCTTACTGACAATCATAACAATATGGTAGTAATTAATATCTGAGTTGTGTTGATGTATTTCAGGCTTTAATGTATACTTGTAAATCTTCTGTTTTGCTTATTAGTCACATTTATGAACACTAGGAAGTGTTCCGATTGTATTGTGTAACTGAGAGTGCCATGTGATTTCACAGATGAGCAACAACTTAAACAAGAGGGCCCCAACCACAGCAACACAGCGGTTAAAACAGGATTACCTGCGCATCAAGAAAGATCCAGTCCCGTATATCTGTGCTGAACCTCTGCCCTCCAACATTTTGGAATGGTACATTTGATTTCCCTTAAAGGGGTCATATGATGCTTTTTTTTAAAGATCATTATTTTGTGTATTTGGTGTAACAGAATATGTTGACATGCTTTAATGTAAAAAAAAACAAAAAAACATTATTTTTCAAATACTGTACATTATTGTCATTCTGAATTATTTATAAGACTTTTGAATTACGGGGACACTGAAAATGTCCTCATAAATCACCTTCTCGTTGTAATGCCTATGTCATACCCATGTTATTATACAAATTTGTGTCCTCATAAACCACATAAACATGCACACACACACACACACACACACACACGATGTAGTGATGGGAAGTTCGGATCATTTTACCGACTCGGACCTTTGAGTCTCGTTCAGCAAAATGAACAAATCTTTTTTCGAGTCATTTCGTTCATTTTAGCAAAATATAATTAAAATGTTACGTGATACTTCCTTACCACATCTACTACTTACGCAAACGTTGATCACACTACAAACAATACAAAACTGCAATAAGAAACCGAAAAGATTTGGGTCTTCAGTCTTTGATTAGCTCACCTCACCTCTTATCTGACAAGTCTTTGGGTTTGACGCGTTCGTTCATCACGTGACAGCCCCATTATAATAAATTTGATTTCTTACAGTTTATAAATGTGTGAATTTCTGTCATTATGGTTATTTCCCATAACACTGAATGTTGTAACAAAGGAAATAAAGAGTTGGTTATTATTATTAAGTCTCTTTCCGGCTCAGACTGCATAGGGTAAGCGTATGGGGCTGTCACGTGATGAACGAACGACTTGGAAAAACCCGAAGACTCGAGATGAACTAATCAATACTCTTTCTGGCTCAGACTGCATAGGTTAAACTTATGGGGCTGTCACGTGATGAATGAACGACTTGAAAAACCCGAAGACTCGAAACAGGTGAACTACTTGACCAATTCCAGTACAGAACCTATAGGACGAGACGACTCATTCTTCCCGAGTCACATTAAAGATTCGTTCAAAATGAACGAATCGTTCAAGAACGACCCAACACTCCGCATTTGAACAGTCAATAGCAAATACTTAAACTAATAACGAAACAGTAGCTGATTCAGAAGCGCCGGATTGTCATAGCAAAGTCAGAATTACCTCCTCTCCTAGGTTCACGAAACGGTCGTCCATAAAATGCATTGCTGTTCTGTTGTAAGTGATCTTAAAGATTCCTAAATGCATCTACTTTCGGAAGGCCAAATAAAGTGCTTTTGCTTTCGCCTAGAAACACACAGCGTCTCCCTGACATGGCTGCTTCAGCACTAACTGCGGTTACTGAAACCACGCCTTCTTTCTTTGCGCGAACATTTGGGCGCATTATGCAAATATTTCCACATAGTGAGGTAGATATGTGGGGCCGTGTTAGAACGAGCCGTTTTAGGAGGGCGTGGCAGAGTCTTAACTTTGATAAAGAATATCTCTTTGGTTTTGAGACTTTAGTCTTTGCAACTTCAGGGATCTTATCTATGCACAATCAGCTTGTAACACTCCAAAGAGAAAGGAGAACTTGAAATCGCATCATATGACCCCTTTAAAACATTTCTTTATATTATTTTGTTACATACATATACACACACTACCACAATGATTAACACTTCTTAATGTTTTTGAAAGAACTCTCTTATGCTCACCAAGGCTCTATTTATTTAATAGAAAAATACAGTAAAAATAGTAATTGTGAAATAGTTTTACAATTTAAAACAACTGTTTTCAGTTCTAATATATTTTAAAAGCTGATTACTTTTCATATATATATATCTATTTATTTTATTTTTTTCTTAATATTTTCGTCGAAACTGTGATACACTACCATTCTTTAAAGAAGAAAAATTAATACCTTTATTCTGCAAGGACACGTTAAATTGACCCAATGTGTCAATAAAGATATCTATAATGTTACAAAAGATTTCGATTTCAAATAAATGCTTTTCTTTTGAACTTTCTATTCACCAAAGAATGTATCATGGTTTCCACAAAAATAATAAGCAGCAAAAAACTGATGATAATGAGAACTGCTGATAATAATAAGAACTGTTATTAATATTTGAGCACTAATAATTAGTTGGTAATAATTAAGTACCAAATCAGAATATTAGAATACTTTTTTTTTTCAATCAAATAAATGCAGCCTTGGTCAGCAAGAGAGACCTATTTAAAAAAAACATTTTAAAAAATCTTAATTATTCCAAGAATTTGACCAGTAGTGTATTAGTGTAATGCTTTATTTTACATGACTTATTGTTTAAGTTTGGAACTTCATCAAGAGCTTTATCTTAATCCTTCATTTTTTTAATAATCAATTTCATGAGTTATATTCTATTTAGCAGATGATTGTTTGTTAGCAGAATGTTCACTCTGCTTCCATTCAATGAAAGTGAATAGAGAATGATGCTGTCAAGCTCCCAAAACGTTACAAAAGCACCATGAAAGTGGTCTATAATGACTAAGACGATACATTCCTAGTCTTCCGAAGCAGAATGATGCCTTTATGTGAGGATTTGGGCTAATGTTAATATATATAAAGTGCACTATTTGTATGGACTACTTTGATGGTGCTTATTTTTCCTTTTTGGAGCTTGACTGCCCATTGACAGTCACTATATGCTTTTGTTGTATGTAAAACGTTTAAAATTTTCAAAAATGTCTGACAGGACTTTTATCACCTAGAATAATCTACATTACAGACTTTATATGATTAGATACTACCACATCCCTGGCTTGCTTTCTCTTTCAGGCATTATCTAGTACGTGGCCCTGAGAAAACTCCATATGAAGGTTATTTCCTCCTCTAATTTCACATTAGTACTTCCTTTTATACAGTTTCTGCTTCATTTTGACTT